AAAGCAAACTTTAACAACTTAAACAAGTCCCTTATTTGTTTGACAGAGGGGGGTTGGTCAATTGCTTACAAGAATATCATGAAAATAATATATTTATAGTTTAAGATTATGTACAAAATTAGCAAAAGAAAAAAACTCGCGTCCTGGATAAGACGATAAACTACATCCAGCAGCAATCAGATCAGGAGGTTTTGAGGAGCGTGGAACCATCTCTTAATTGTTGGTGTTCCCAGGTCCACCCTGAAACTGGGTGGTAGCACCTGTTAGGGTCCCAGCTACGGTCAATGGTGATAAACTACATCTGGCAGGAAGGCCTCTGATCAGGAGATTGGAAGTTTTGAGGAGCATGGAACCACATCATAATTGCTGTTGTTCCCAGATCCGCCCTGACCTGTGGTGATAGCACCTGTTAGGGTCCCAGCTATGGGCAAATAGTTAACCCCAAATCTGTGGTAAAAAAACATTATAAAAGTGTAAAAATAGGTTTTAATATCAGAAATACTTTGTAAAAATTATTACCAAAAATATTTCCAGCTGTACGTTTTTGAAAAAATATTAACAGAAATAGATTTTTGACAAAAGAAAATACTACCAGGAAAGAAAACGTTGTCGGCATTAAATGACGCATTGAGGTTGATATACCGTAAAAAAAAAAAAAAAAAATTATTCCTTTTTAAATAATATCCTCTACTTGGTCATTAGGTCAGATTTTTGTGGAAATAGTTCTAACCAAGAACTTTTCCCCATTCCCTCGTAATGCTGAAACGACGAAATTCAATACTAGATAGTGATTCGTGATGTCCGCGTTAGATGTCACATCCAATCATTGTGACCGTGCATCCGCTTATTGAATTGCGATTGCATAGAATTACAAACAATTTTCGAATATCACGTGGCAGGAGCCGCGGTGTACACACTTGGTCACTGTTTCTAGGTTAAAAGAAACTAGATTAGAATAATGGAGTCTTGCTTTAAATGCTTTTACCAGGTAACAGAGTAGGACTTGTTATCTAGTAACCTAACACTTAGTAATGTTTCTAGAAAATTACCCAGAGTAAACTAATGATAATTGACACCAGGCGTTAAGAAAATGGTCATTGGCAGTCTGTGGAATTCTCTAGGTGGATGTGACATCTCCAGGAAATTAAGAGTCAATAATTTACAAACAATGCAAGATTTGTGGAAAAACGCCATCACAATTTCAGTTGAGAATGCAGTCGATTGTTAAACACTTCAGATACCTTAATGCATGGATCAGTTATAAGAAATTTAGTAAAAGAGATAAGGAAACTGGACATAGAATAGGCTGCGATAGAGGTAGTTTCAGCCAACGCCACAAATTGCTACAAAAACAAAACATTAACCTGGAAACTCTAGTCATGTTTAGGTCGAGACTTCCATAGGGATGTGATACATGGCGCCAAAAACATTTTCTCAGATCAATAGTTAAAAATGGCTTTGAGGAGTGAAGCATTATGGGTCTTGAATATCTTAGAGGTCTGAGCCAAATCGAAATGTGGTTCTACAGAAGGATGCCGTGAATACCATTAAACATGTGAGCAACGATAAAGTTTTAAGAAAAGGGTGGGGGAACAAAAAAGGACACTTCTACGCAGAATCAGAAAGAGGCAGCTAACATTTTTGGACACATAATGAAGTAGGGAGACTTGGAGAATTTGATATTCACATGATATATCGAAGACGAAAAAGATAGAGGTTCACCTACTTGACCAACTTGTGTGAATCGATGGCGGAATAGAGGAATAGAAGGCAATGGAAACAAAACAAGAAGAAGTACAAGGGACAAGAATTTGTGGCAAGCCATGACCACTCACACTCTGAAGGGACACGGCATAACTTCCAGAGGTGGTAGATATAATTATGGGGGTTTCTTATAGGTGAAAGCTCAACTAACTCAGTTTTGTCAAACCTAGTCCTTGGTATCAAAGTTTGGATGCTTGTCTCCGTTAGTAGCTGCATAATTAAAAGAAAGAAAAAAAAACTTGTAATTACAACAAATGATTTATTTTTTTAATGGAAATATTTCGACTAGCAGTTGCCAGTCTTGGTGACTTCTTAATTTGAGTAAAACAGTACAAAGAATTTCGAAAAGCTTAAGAATTTAAATAAAGGAAAACAATTTTTTTTTTTTTTTTTTATGCTTCGAGTTGCTATTAATCGGTTTGTTTTCCTTGATTTAAATTCTTAAGCGTTTCGAACTTCTTTGTACTGTTTTACTCAAATGAAAGAATGACCAAGACTGGCAACTGCTAGCCGAAATATTTCCATTAAAAATAATCCTTGGTGTTTGAAACTGGACATTGGAGATGTCGAATCTCAAGATTGCTCATCTGATCATCTTCCTCCTCGACATTTTCCGGTGCCATTATAGGTTCAAAAATTCCTTGGTCACTGTGATATTTCCAATATATGTTCTTTGTGTGAAAACAATGAAGCAATTAACAAGAATAAATTGCACTACTTTTATCAGTGTTTCTATCAAACGTTGAGTATGTTTTTCTAACTTCTCGAAACGTTTATCTGAGTTGAAATATTAGAATGGCTTTTAGTTCGGATAATTGTAAAATATTCGATGTGATTTTTTCATTTTTTTTTTTTCAATTGATTTCACGGCCGGATAATCGAATTCCAGAAAAAGGAAGTACTGTACATATAAAAAGTATAGATTCATCTTTTCTCCCAGCTATGGGTTAAATAGCGTAATAGATTGGGGCCTCTTGCGTTGGATGGCAACTAGTTTAAGAGAAGAAAAAAAAACTGAAATGAAACAGCCGAGAAGGCAACAGGAAACCAGAATAGTATCTTTTCCAAGAATGCATAGCAATAAATAGATAAAAAAAATAATTGGAAGAGACAAGGCATTAACGAAAGATCGACACGAATACATGATCAGCAAAATAGAGCGCAAATGGGCGAACTATCTATTGTCGACGTCAAAATTAAGCATATACAGTAATTTAAATATTAACTTAGTGTGGTGAAAAGTGTTTTAACAGAAGGACAATATGTCACCGAAATCGGAACAAGCATTAGACTAGCGAAAAAGACATTTCAAAAGCTAAGCAAAGTGCTGAGAAACAGAAGAAAAAATCGTTAGCAATCCAGCATTCTGTTTCTCTGTGATATAGCACTGGAAATGTTGAGACAATCTCCCCATTGCTAAGACGATTATTATGTACGAAGCAAGTAAGCGACTTAAAGAAAATGGAAACAGAAAAATAACACTTCTTTATAATCAGGAAGAGATAGCTGAAATTCTCTAGATACCTAATGATGGAGGTCTTGGGAAACGTAACCCTCACAGGGAGTATTGAGAGGAAAAGAGATGTGGGTAAGCAGCGAGCCTCCAACCTGACTAGCTTGTCTGAATGGATGCCGGAACTGTGAGTGGGCTGAAGACTTAGAAAAACGAGAAAGACTTCTGAGGGCCATAAGTCATGGGTAGGTTTGGAGAACCTTGATCACCCATGTCCTGAATCGAGGTGGCACATCGAAGAAGTAACCACGCGAAGGAAAATGTAACAGACATCCTAACGTACAGTGAAAGTTATTTTTCGTAAATTAAGGAAAGTATCAAGAAATAGGAAAACACTGCTAGAAGCAAAGAATACAGTGGAAAAGCCATGCAGTATATAAGATCCTATATGTCGGTAAATACTGGGCAATATTCTCGCAGATGAAAACTTGAATTTTAAACTGAACCAGACACAAATACTTTCGGCAAATACTTGTCTTCCACATTAATAGTAATAGTACAGTCTTGTTAATTATTAAGTCCTTTCTAACGAGTGGGTCCCTCAAGATAATTGTTAACAGCCAGTCCTCTCTGGTGACTCACAAGGCTCGCTTCTCGGTCCAATTCTCTTTCAACTTTACATTAATAATCTGCCTAAGAGCACATTCTGATATATCTATTGTACATAGACTGTTTTCATTCAACTGTTTGTGCCAAGATTAGCTTGTCTTGTTTTTTTTTTTTAAAAAAGTTATGTCTAATACCTTTACATTAAATGTCGGTCTCGACGCTTTAACCTCTTAGACAATAAGATAAAGGTTACACAAACCAACAGAAACCTGGCGGTCCAAGAACACAGTGGTGTGAACGTTATGATAACTACAACAAGGACTGGGAACTTACGGCCATATCACGTTGAAACACCGTACGACCACCGAAGTTAAGCAACATCGAACCTGGTCAGAGCCTAAATGGGTGCCCGCTTTTAGAAGCCCGGGTGGTGAAATGGATAATGGCTCGGAATTATTAATCGGAAAGCTGAGTTCCAATTCGTGTTGTGTTCACTTATGCACAAATACCACTGGGAAAAAGATAAATCCACACCTTCTCCCCCAGCTATGGGTTAATTGGTAAGAAACCATTATTATCTAAAAAAAAAAAAACGATCTAAAATATTTTATGACTTAAAATAACCTTCAACGAATCGATTAATAAAAAACAAAGAAAAAACAAAGATGAGGACATTTGTCAAACTAAAATATTTTGAGCATGTTTTAAAAATAGTTTCTCTCTTAACAAGAAAAACTCTGGACGGTCTGTCTTATTTTCCGAATCGCATTTAAAATTCATTCGTTAAAGTGATGTTTTCTAAGACACATTATGGTGATATTTTTTTTTTTAAAGCTTAGCTGGAGCACCTAGTGAGGTTCAAACTAGTCGTAATTGTCAGTCGTAATTGTGCTAACGAGACTAGTTTGCTAACCATTACACTACGTGCCTAATCTGACATATGAATCATTATGTTCATCTCGTCTCGTACGAGATTTTACTTTTAACACGAGATAGAACTTCTTTGGACGAGATTTGCATTCTGGATTGTTTTAAACAGTCGAACGGATATTAAATATTGGCCATGTGTTAAATTTTGCCGCTGTCGAGTGGCAAATATCGATATAACAGTCTCGATTATAGAGTTTTCCTTTTCACCTTTAACATCTGTTTTTCTTCCTCTTTGCAGAAACTGATGGAGATGAGCAAGAAAGACGCAGAGAAAATTCGCCTCATCCAGACACGAATCGGTATTGTTTGGACTGGCATCATGAAAGGTTCCAGGTTCTACCGAAAAAACGATCTCCAAATGCATGTAAGTGAAGCCCCAACTTTTGTCTTTTCCTTTTCCATTATATGTACAAAAATCTCAGTTACATCAAGAATTAAAGAATCAAAGCGAAATTCTTTTTCGCATACATTTTACTCGGCATCTGTCTGTATTTCTGAGATGAGGTATTATGTACATTATTTACATTATTCGGACTATTGTCCTCATCTTTGTCGCCATATTTGTCACAACGTTTCGGCCTTTCAGTATCTGTCTATATTTCTGAGATGAGGTATTATGTACATTATTTACATTATTCGGACTATTGTCCTCATCTTTGTCGCCATATTTATTACAACGTTTCGACACTTCAGTATCTGTCTATATTTCTGAGATGAGGTATTATGTACATTATTTACATTATTCGGACTATTGTCCTCATCTTTGTCGCCATATTTATTACAACGTTTCGACACTTCAGTATCTGTCTATATTTCTGAGATGAGGTATTATGTACATTATTTACATTATTCGGACTATTGTCCTCATCTTTGTCGCCATATTTATTACAACGTTTCGACACTTCAGTATCTGTCTATATTTCTGAGATGAGGTATTATGTACATTATTTACATTATTCGGACCATTGTCCTCATCTTTGTCGCCATATTTATTACAACGTTTCGGCCCTTCAGTATCTGTCTATATTTCTGAGATGAGGTATTATGTACATTATTTACATTATTCGGACTATTGTCCTCATATTTATTACAACGTTTCGTCCGTTGTACGCTCCGGCCTTCTTCAGGTGGTTGGAATGTCGAACTGAACCCTTTATTTCGCCCACTGGGGTGGACTGTTCTAGTTCCACATGCCATGTTTAATGGATGTCAGTTATCAGTTATCTCTTGTTAATTTTCCTTGTGAAAGTTCTCCACTGCCTTAACCGGGTATTGAACTCACTCTCTTTGGGCTCTGTTACTGGATCTAACCAACGCCTGGCACAGTGGATTTTACTCGACGTAAAGTTTTCAGCTTTTAATATCTCCTCTGCCTCACACTCTGTCACTGGATGTGCGGGGGATGTAATGATAGCAGTTTGGAATGAGAAATCGAAGAGCAGAGTTCGAATTCCAGTCGAGTATGTTACAGTCACTTGTGCGCAAATATCTCTGAGAAAGGTATGAATTCCTCTCTTCTCCCTCCAGCTATGGGTTAAATAACAGAATGGGCTCTTTAGCCGTAGTTAGGAACCAGTGTAGGAGATGGACAACTCTGAATTGAAAAAAAACTAACAAATGATAATAATGTCATCTTCACGTGTTGGTGGCATTGTATTTTTTGTATTAGTTTTGTTTCTTCCGGTTTGATTTTAGGTGTGGGTGGTGTAATATTAGTTTGGAATGGGAAATTAGGGAACCCAGTTCGATACATTCACTTACGCACAAATACCTTCGGAAAAGGTAAGAATTTATCACTTCTCGCCTAAATTAATAATGCAGTCTTGTTAAATATTATGACCTTTCTAACGGGTAGGTCTCTGATGATAGTTGTAGACGGCCATTCCTCTTAGTCGTCCCGCAAGGCTCGCTTCTCGGTCAAAATTCTCTTTCTACTTTAGATTAATGATCTGCCTAAGAGCATATTCCGTGGGTGTGTGCTGTATATGGATGCACCTCCCAAATTCTAGATGACCAGAGTTTTGCAGCTGATCTCTACTCTTACCGAGCGTTAACAGCTCAGTAAACGAGAAAACCGTCTGATGACATTCAATGCTTCGAAAACCAACTAGTGACATCCCATCATCACTGAACGAGCTCTGAAACTTCGCCTATCGCGATAAGCGGGTATTCTCTCTGGGAGGCCATTCGTGCCTTAAAGCTCAACGCAGAACTCGTGTATATGTTCCACTTCTAAAGACTCTTGAAAAATGGTCGTTTCTCTGTACTGACTGCTACTATTCTATACCATTACAAGTGCCACATCAGGCCGAAAATAGAGTACTGCTGCCGTAGAAGCTACCCAGTTTTCACTTTCCAGCTTCGATAGTCCAAAAGCGTATATACGCCATTGTGGGCCATGAACTAACATTCCACCTAACGGCACTTTTTCTACAGACGAAAACGTTGCAGGCCTCTCGCTACTCTGTCGCTATTTCCATTGAATGTGTTCAGACGAATTCTTTAGTTACATCAGTTCTAACCTTCATGGCTAAGACCTACCATGCCAGGTAAATTATAGCAGCCACCCCCTCATTCACTTCATATTACATTGGTGATGTGTAAATTTCACTCTAACAGCCCCCCCCCCCATCAAAAGGCTACGCTTGTGCAACCGACTCCCAAGAGGATATTTTCTCGATCACTATAATCTTATACATCTGACATATGATGAGTCACTATGCAAATCTCGCGCCGGATTTTACTTTTAGCCCTAGATAGAACTTCTTCCGACGAGAACTGCATTCTGGATGCAGTTCTTAATTCTTTAAACCGCCAAACAGATATTAGATACTGGTCATATTTTAAATTTTGCCGCAATCGAGTGGCAAATATCGATATAAGAGTGAAGTCTCGATATTAGCTTTTACTTTTCATCATCTTTAAATCTGTTTTCCTTCGTCGAGGAAGTCTAGGATTAACATTTATCGTCCCCACATATCCTCCTAAAGTGTCCCTTACCTTTTATTTCGAGTAGCCCTTGGGTCTTGTACAAGGAGAACACTACTATAATATATATATATATATATATATATATATATATAAAATAATTGCTCTTGAGACACATATATATATATATATGTCTCAAGACATATATATATATATATATATATATATATATGTCTCAAGAGCAATTATTTTTTTCTTTATGATTAGTCATTTTTATTTAAAACATCTCAACTGCGCCTCATGGACAAACATAGAAATTAAAGTCTGAACGCGCATCTTTTCCCTTTAGTACTTAAAAAAAACCGTTTATTTCAACAGTAGATGGCGCTTTTGTTAAACAAGATGATTGCCTTTCTTTGGTTTAACGCGCAATATATTAACGATGTTCTCTACTTTGTGTCGTTTTTCCCTCTCCTGAACATTTTCTTCCCCGTCTTCTAATGTACACTGGATTAGATTTTGTATCTATTTTCGTTAACTTTTGTTGTCTTCGTTTTCTCTTTAAAGTATAAAGACCAGGTTTATTCTCTTAGCCATTGATAAATGCATTTATCCATGATCACTGACAATTATTATAGAACTGGTCCATCATCACTGCCGATTATTATAGAACTGGTCCATCATCACTGCCGATTATTATAGAACTGGTCCATCATCACTGCCGATTATTATAGAACTGGTCTATCATCACTGCCGATTATTATAGAACTGGTCTATCATCACTGCCGATTATTATAGAACTGGTCCATCATCACTGCCGATTATTATAGAACTGGTCCATCATCACTGCCGATTATTATATTTGTTTCTGACTTATAATGCGTACAAATGTGGCCAAAATGATTCAAATTTTAGCTTAAATTGCGAAACTCTTGTTACAGTTAAATGCTCGAATCCCACCCAATTTTTAAATGCTAATGTTACTACTGTGACTATATTTTTACTCATAGTCCGGTCAGTACCTAGGTGGGTGGCCGCTTTATATTCATTTACGAGCAAAGGTACGAATCCACTTCTTCTCTCCCACAATGAAGATTTAATTAACAAGGCTTGTATCACTAAAACCATTATTATCTCAAAGAAGTTCTTGTAATCTAAAAATATTTTCTGGCTTTAAATAACCTGCAAAGGGTTGAAAAGCCTTCGAGGCAGATGGGAAATATCGAGTTTTAGTGACGCGATAGCTGGACAGGGAGGGATGATAAAGCGTTAAAGTTTGTTTTCAGCTACAAGAGGAAGGAAGTTGTGGAGAGCTATGATCGTTCAGATCTTGAAGGCATGATAATACTCTAAGAAGCAATTTTTGAAATTTTCTTATCTGAACGTAGGCGAATAAATTCCATTTTCTTTTTTCTTTACGTGTTTGAGCATGCTTTAATACTATTAATTTTATGAGAAATTTGAACAATAAATTTATGCGCTATAAAAAAAGTAATATTTTCGCATATCTGTTCTCATTCATCTGTTTAAACGTATCCGGGCATCTCTCGCCATGCGTGCTCTCATAAAAATCCGTTAGTAATTTTATAGTTAGTTTTTAATTAAATGTTGTTTTAAATGGTTTCAAGACTTTCTTATGGATGCCCTGCATGGCAACAATCTTGTTCAGAAATATCTAAAATCTCAGTTGTATGCAATCGCTTTCTCAGATCGGTGGTTTAAAATAGCTTTGAGTGAGTAAAGCGTGTATGTGTCAGTGAAGGGCATCTTTCTTCGAACCTCGACGACTGGCGCTACAGAATCGCAAACAATAATTTGTATTAGATAAAAGAAACCATATTGCAGCTGGGCTTTTAACAGAAGCAACAACTAAAATGGATGGCACGTGTAAAAACTGTAATGAGAAGATAATGGCATAATCAAAATTCTGACTTTCCAGACTATTCAAAAAAAAAAAAAAAAAAAATGGTTACTGGAAAGAGCGATAACAGCTACTGGACTTGAGGAAGGTATTTTCCTGAATAAGGTTTTAAGAGAATGATTTTTATCAGTTTAAACATCATTTTTAATAGATACGCGTATTTGTGTAGACACCCCGTTTGTTTATTAAACAATATATTTATTTTCGTCTACCGGCCTGAACCTCTCTCCGGCAGGATTCGATCCTGCGTTCCCTTGGGCAGAGGGAGCTACCGTTAGACCTAGCACCCTCCGAGTCACGAAGAGAAGACGATCAGATAAGGCCAAATTTGTGCTTTTTTTAAGCGAAATTTCTCTCGTCATAGATCTCCCGAATTATTTTCATGTCTCTACAGTTTCGTATCCAAACGTAAAAAAAAAAAAAAAAAAAAGTTGGTTAGATCCCGTGACTAGACCCAAAGGGTTGTGAGTTCAATACCAGGCTACAGCAGTGGTTAACCAAAAACTTGAATAGTT